ATTTCATAATAAATAGCCCATTTTATTAATAAATCATTAAGTCAATTAACAGTTTTTAATGATGTTAGAAATATATTTCAATGTAATTTCATTATTGTATAGGAGAGCAATTATGAATTTTATTTTTTTAGTTAATTTTATTAAGTAAAAAATACTAACCAAGAGGTATTTGTAATTTTTCAAACCACAGAAGGCAATATGTACTTTAAGCAAATCTCAGGGGGTATATTTGTAATTTACCCTTTAAGCAACGTCACATACTGCTCACTCACTACCTCTCATACTCTTATCTCTCTCTCTCTCTCTCTCTCTCTCTCTCTTTCTCTCTCTCTTCTCTTTCTCAAACACTCTCAGATCCTCTATATCCGATCATTATCCATCTTAGGACATCCATCTCAGATCGGTAGTTGTAGCTCTTTCTCTCTATATATATATATATGTATATATTATATTTTGTTTTTGTGGAAATCATGTTCTGTTTGCTGATTTTTCCAACCCCAGATTTGTTACGTTTGATGAATAAATCTGTTTGATGTCTTTGATGATCTATTTGATGATTTTTCCATCTTGTGCTTTTATGTCTTTGATGATGATTAACATTTTTGATCTGTTTGATTGCTCTGTTTTTTAAGCCATATTATTATTTGATGACTCTTGTATTTTGTTTTTGTGAGAATCATGTTCTGTTCCAACCCCAGATTTGTCATATTTGATGAATGTTCTGTTCTATTTTGTTTTTAAGCTATATTATTATTTTGTCACATTTGATGAATGTTCTGTTTTATTTTGTCACATTAATACAATCCAACACTCCGCTTTGTGTAATGTATATCCAGTTTTAGGAGAACTCTGCTATGGTTATGTTTTTTAGAAATTAAAATGTTCTATATTTTTTTGTTATTTAAATATGTGAATCTGTGGTCCTAAACCGATCCAATATGTGTTTAAATGGATTAGTTCGGATTGGTTCCACAATTTAAACAGATTAGATTGGTTCCAATTTTTTAAGAACCGTAGATAACGGATTGGTCCTGAATTTATCCCAATCCGAATCATGCTCACCCCTATTATTGCTTACTTTCGCCTCTAGCGCCACTTCCCCTCTAGCTCCTGTTACGCTGTCCCCTCCACAGCTCCCGTCACACTGCCTTCTTTTCTTACTCTTCTTCTCTATCTCTTCTTTCTCTCTCTTTCTATTATTCTCCTTCTTTCTCCTAGCTTCCGTCTTGTGTCTCACTCATTCTTTAACTCAAGTCACTCATCTCGCTGCTACCACTGCACCTTGCTAAACCCTTTACCTTCTCTACTAGGGTTGGGCATAGGGTCATCTGATTTGTCCAAACCGCCCTACCCGATCCGAACCGCGCATGTATGGGCGGTTTCGCAAACACATTAGGGTAGGGTGCGGTTTGGATTTTATCTAATTTTCGGGTTGCAGACGGGTTGCGGGTTTGACCCGCACCCGCCCAACCCGTCCACATAAAACTCCTTTTTTTATTATTATTTTTTAAATTTGACCGTTCAAAAAAACCCCTTTTTTTCTCCTTCAAATCTGATCGTTCAAAAAAAAAAAAAAAACCCTTAATCAAACTCACTCACTCTATCTTCTCTGAAAGTTGGATTGGATAATTCGTGATGAAGTTTGATATTTTAGAAATGTTTTTATTTTATTTCATGGATTTGAATTGAATGAAGTTTGGCAACAATTTTTTTTTTTTAATTGCATTTTGGTTTTGGATGAATGTAAGTTAATGATTTTTTTTATTTTTATTTTTATTTTTTTGGCATTTTGGATGAATGTAAGTTAATGAAGAATTTTTTATTTTTATTTTTTTTGTATTTGGATTAGGAATGGTGAATGTAGGATTTTTTAATTTGGGTTAGGAATGATGAATGTAGGATGAATGCAAGTTAATGATGAATGTAGATTTTGAATGATTTGTTTTGGTTATGAATTGAGTTGAATGCAAGTTAATGATAAAGGTAGATTTTGAATGATTTGTTTAGGTTACGAATTGATTTTGTTGTGTTTTTTATTTTATAAGTTTTTTATAAGTTTTAATTCATTAATTATTAATGTTAAAACATTTTAGAAAATGGGATGAAAAATGTCTAAAAGAAATATTGATAAAAAATGGGGAAAAAAAGGGTTTAACAAAAAAAATTTGAAAAAAAGTTCAATCTGCAAACCCCCCGCAACCGCGAACCCTATCCGCACAAATCGCAAACCGCATTGCGGGTGGTTACAAGTTGACTTTTCCTCAAACCGCATACATGCGGGCGGGTCCAAACCAAACCGCAAACCTTTCCAAACCGAACCGCAGACACCCCTATTCTCTACCAATGCTGAAAAATCCTAGACTTCTAAATCCATTTGTTTAAGAAGAGAGAGGCTAAGGCAGAGGCGACTCCAAGAGGTGATGGAATCCCATGACCCTATCAAGCTATCGAAAATCTGTGAAAAAAAAATATTTATAATGTAGGTGTTTGAGAAGTGAATTTTTTTATAGGTTTTTTTAGTTATAGGATATTATTGGAGAAATTTTTTTTGTGTTTGAGAAGATAGTTGAGTTTTTTTGTGGTTGAATGTAATATTTGTGAGAGAAAAAGTGAAATGATTATGAGGTTTGATGTGATATTTTATTTGGATTTGTTTTTCTTAATTTTGTAACCAATTTATCTTTTAGTTTAAAAAAATCAAAAAAAACCCAAAAAATTTCCTACCCAAACACCCTGATGTTAATATTTTATTTGATATAGTTTAATCCCATTAAAAAAACTAAGAAACCCCACCAAATAAGGACCACAACCATTAGAAACCTACGATTTAGAACTTTAAATCACTCTATAGATAACAGTTTTTAAAAATATTTTCTAATTATTTTATTTTTTGTGTTTAGTGAACTTTTTAAATTTTTTTAGCAAATTATTTTACTTTTTAGTTCACTTAATTTGGATACATTTAAAAAATAAAATATTTATGAAAAACTATTTAAAAAATTCACTAAATATAAAAAAATATAAATTTTCTTATACTTTTTATAAATATTTTACTTTTTAGTACAAGGTACATGTAAATAAATGACTAAAATATGGAGAGAAAAAAATTTAAAGACAACAAAACACAAAAAATTTAAAAACTCCCTAAACTAAACAGAGTGAATGTTGTTTAACTTATTTATTTATTTTATAAAATTTGTAGAACTTAAATTTGTGAAGTAATCTTATCTATAAAAATTTCTGAGTCTGCATTGGGTTGAGGAGTGGGCAACAACCGGTGGTGGCGGTTGTGAGAGTTAAGATTTGTTAAAGAAGATGAGGAAAATATGGTATTACATAAAATTTAACCGTGTATATTGAGAAAAAATCAACTCATTCAATTTTTGTGTGGCATTATAGCCTAAATGTCAGAAAATATAAAAAAAGGGGTTAAAAAGTCAAAAAAATATTAAAAAGTCAAAAATTCTTTTCCATTCATTCTATTTTTTGTACATTTTTTAAAAAAAAAATAAAAATTCATCTCAAATATATTAAATTTTTTTTTTAATTTCATATAAAAAGTGACAAACAAAAGCCTTTTTCTAAGTGACCCCTGAATATTAATTTTTTTAAAAAAATTTCATATAAAAAGTCACAAACAAAAGCCTTTTTCTAAGTGACCCCTGAATAAATAGTGAGTAGATGATGTATATTGATATAAATAAATAATGGTAAGGAAATAGAATTTCCAGACGAAAAAAAAACAGGAAGATTAAAAAATGACATTCTGTTTGATTTTCATTTTCAGAATTTATTATTTAGCAAATTTAATTTTTTTCATTTTTCATAATTTTTTAGTTTTCACTAATTTTTTTAATATTTTTATCAATTTTTTTAATATTTGGACAAATCTAACATAAATACATTTAAAAAGTATAATATTTGTGAATTTTTTTTTAAAAAAAGTAAAAATACACTAAATACTAAAAATACAAAAAAAAATGAAAATTTAATATTTTTTTATATTTTTATGTATTTATTAATCTTTTAAAATATTTTTTCACAATATTTTACTATATAATTTATGTGCATCTTAAAAAAGTAAAAAATTATTTAAAATTTTAAAAATATTCATTAAAAACAAAAGGAATAAAAAAACAAAAAAAAATCAATTTTTAGAAAATTGAAACCAATCAATGTGTTTGGTTTCAATTTTCTGAATTCAGTTTTCAAAAAATTAAGTTTTTTATTTTTCGTATTTTTTTTATTTTTAGTGAATATTTTTGAAAATTTAATAATAATTTTTTATTTTTTTATATGCACATTATTTAAATTTATCTAACTAGTAAAATATTTGTGAAGAAAAATTAATAAATATATAAAAATATGAATAACGTACTGAATTTTTGTATATATATATTGGTATTTAGTAAATTTTTTAAATATTTTTTTCATAAATATTATACTTTTTATGTATATTTACATTAGGTGCATCTAAAAATTCAAGCAAAGCTAATGGGTAGCATGAATGGATGATGGCCCGAATGGATCAAAATTGTTTTCCGTCCAATAATATGATGCATGTGTGTTCCACGTGTTCTGGTTTGGAGATATAACAATTCAAAAATAAAACAGAAAATAGAAAAGAGAACAAAGAGAGAGGGAAACCAGATGAGCACAACGAGCACGACTTCAATGACGAGCACGATGACCCCCGACCTGGGTGTTCATTAACGATCACGACGACCACCGACCTAGTGTTCACTAACCTGGGTGTTCTTGTGTTTTTGCATCTGAGATGCATTTGTGATGTCTGCAATTTTTTGAGGTGAAAGGAGAAAGAGAGCCACACGTGTCAGAGAGTTCATTCGCGCCATTCGCGCCTCACGCTCTCGAGGCCTGAAGCATTTTTCTTATCAAAAAAGCTCTCAAAAAAAAACCCCTAAAAAAAAATACGGAAAAAAAAATTCTACAAAGTCAATTCTGAAAATTGAAACCAACTGATAATTTTTTTTTTTTTTTGGTAGCGTTGGTAGCTACGCCTACGCGCACTGTGGAGCGCGCGAGCCTCGTTTCACTGAGAATTGAATTCGCGGTTGACGTGGAGCTGTGTCCGGCTCACACACATACACACACACTCCCATTCTCTTCGCAGCTTTTTTCTCATCTACCTCCTCTTCCCTCATGCACCATTTCTTCACAATTCGCTCACCTAAAAACCAACCCACGACAATTTTCAGTTCAGTTTTGTTCTCTCCGGATTTTGTCTTCCCTTTCCATGGATTCCCTCGAATCATCAACGCCCGCATCGGAAAATCCCTACACTCTGCTCTTCAAGGCCACCACGATGATACCCATTTCGCATTACGCATTGGGTCTTTTGATTGTCGGTGTTGTTTTTTTGTACAATTTCTTGGAGTTCCATTTCTTTGAAGATCTTGTATTCCGAGGAAGTCCGGTGACTCTGACGTACAATTCTTGCTCCGAGATTTATCAAGGCGTTGCCTCCAAGTGTCGAATTCTTCACGGAAGGTATCTAATTGTTAAAATTGTTTTTGTTTTTGGTTTTCTGTGATTTGGGTAGTAATGGGATGGTGCCCAATTTCAATTTTCATGGTTGTGAATTTGATGATTTGGGTTGTCATGAATTGGTGTGTTGGTACTTGAAATGTGAAGGTATTTGACGACGCCGTGGCTCTCGAGTCCTCATATTCAGACTACTTTCTTGAATTTCTTTGGAAGGCCTCCTGCTTTTTGCTACAGAAGGTGAGGAGTTGTTTTTCTGGTCTAAATTTTGTGTTTTTTTTTTTAACAAGTTTAATCACATTGTAATAGTTGTTTATTGAATCACTTTTGAAAACAGCTTTGCCCAATTTGAAATTTTTACATAAGGAGTTTTTAGTATTGGTCTGGTTATGCTGAAAGGGGAGAATTGAAGAGGGGAATAATAAAGGAAGAAAGTCAATGGAGGAAATTATATGAAAGTAAACATATCAATGCGTTGCTGGTAATAGTGCGAGAATACACATATCAAGGAGTTGCTGGTAACATATCAAGGAGTTAGAATACACATTTATTTATGTTAAATAGTGCGAGAAATTACAACAGTACTCTTATTTTAGGAATGACATAAACTATAACAAAGGAGAAGATATTATGTTATGACCAAAAGCCTTACATTCATCTCACTTTTGAGGTTTCCATGCAACTTTCACTCAGATCTCATAAGGATTGCCATAGCTTGAATTCAATGGAAAAGACTTTGGCATGTTCAAATTATATTGGGTTACAACACAAACCTTTGCGAAGGTAAATCGATTATCAGATCGAGTATACGCATCAAGGTACAAAGGTGTACTAGTAACACTAGGTATGTACACAGTTCAAACTTTCGAGAGTAACATCATCAAGAATTATCTTCCATAATTTCGTAGCTTTTTGGTTAAGATGATGGAAATATAATCTCTTATCAATGAGGAAACCAACTAATGCATGTTCTCATTTCATAAATCAATTTTTGAAATCTCGATAGGCACTTTAAGTTTTCTATCTCACTCTAAATTTCTTTAGTTTCCCAATAACGTTCTCACCCTCTGATTGTTTCCTATAGAGAAAAAGTTAGAGTGAAACCATCTCACCTCACAAAAACAGACACCGAGTACAAGAAGGATACCCTAGAACTCAAACCCAAAACCATCAAATCCAAAATGTACCTTTTCCATTAGTTTTGGGGACTGCCATGCACGTCGATATGTATGGTTTCAGAAGGAAAAGAAGATGCTCATTCATGGAAGACACATTGAAGCTTTTGTTAGGATTTTCTTTTATCCTTTTCACTGATATGGAGCATCAATAGTCAATCACTAATATGGTCAACTATGAAGTACGGACACTTCAAAATAGGCGTCGTAGCGCTGTTGGACACGGGGACACGCCTGAGACACTTACGAGACACGTCAAATGATGTGTCCCTTTAATTTTATTATTTTTTTGCAGGAACATGCCGGGGACACGGGGATACGTGGGGGGAACACGGCTGGAACACGCCAAATGGCATGTGCCTTTAATTTTATTTTCTTTTTTTGCTAGGACACTCCGGGGACACTTTGGAGACACGCCGGGGACACGCGTGTACAAATATGGATAATCCATTAATTTGTTCAAATATAATGGTTTATATATATATATATATATTATTTATCAAAAAAAATATATATGTATATATATTTATATATTGAATTAATATTAGTTTTTATTAATTTTGATTATTTGTTAACATAATATTAAGCTACATAGCAAATATATATAAAAATAAATTTAAAAAAATAATAATAATTGCCGTATCCTGTGCCGTGTCCGTGTTCTCATTTTTTTTGAAATCACCGTGTCCCATGTCCGTGTCCGCGTCCGTGCTTCATAGATGGTCAGGATTGCAAGGTCATTATCTGGTGTGTGATAACATTGTGAATTACATTTCTCTCATGTTTAATTTGTTTTATTTTATAATCAATATTCATTTATCAACTTTCTTGTTTACATACTGTCTACTTTCTCATTTCAGTTGTAAAAAAATGATATTCTTGTAAATTTAGTGGGCTACTTCTATCTGGCATCAACATGGATGTTCTGTGCCATTGTGTTTAATTTTTATTTTTCGGTTTCCAAATCTTTAGAACAACTTAGTGTTAAAAAGTATAAATATCACCTTTAGTCTTTGAAATATAATCTAGGCTTGTCTTCTAACAAGTACTTGTGTTTGTTCTCTCAGACAGATATTTCATACATCAGATGGCGGAACAATTGCTTTGGATTGGCTAATGAGTTCCGATGGTAATGCAAAAATATAACCTTAGTGTGTTTGTTGCATGAGAAGCTTATGTTCCAATGTGCCTGGCTGTATATGCATATGTAATTGATTAGCTGCCTGCATGAGCATGTTGATTAACAATATTTTTCAATATGATAGTGATGTATGACTAGTGACTAACAAATGTAGTCAACCTTAATGTTCTCTGACTTATGTACCCATTTATTACACAGTTTCAGGAGATGCTATATACAGGAATAGTTCTATTTCTAAAGATGACACAACCCCTATTATGGTAGTGATACCTGGTTTAACAAGTGATTCTACTTCCCCCGTAAGTACTTCTATAACCGTTAACCTATTCCTATACATGTCTTGAAGTCTCCTGATGTTGCTATGGTGTTTTGGGGAATTTAATTTTCAGTATGTTATTTTCTTATGGCTGTGCTTTTGTTAACTTGGTCTTTATTATGGGTTGGTTTCTAGTGTATGAACAATAATGAGAATACGAAGTAGCTGAAGCAAAAGAAAGATGAGAAAAAAAGGCACTAGAATATTAGTGAGAGAGTTAGGGTTCTCTCCCCTGAATCTCTTATTTATACTTGCTCCATCAATATTATGAAAATATGCTCCATACACACAAAACATATAAATAAAAGAGTGAATATCCTCACTCAAGCTGGTATGAAGATATCACACCACACGTGCCTACCCTGGTTAGGATATTATGAAACACTTGATACTGCTTTGGTAAGATGTGAAAAAATTGATCTACAGTCTTAACATAGGATAGTTGAAACTCAAAATTCAAATCGATAATTCAAGAGGGATTTGGAAGTCAATAAATTGGGTAAAAAGGAAGAGAAGTTTACATTGCTCTACTTGTTGATTACATGTTAGATCAATAATATTGCCTCACTTAATTAGAACCAGTCAGAATCCAACTTTGTTGACCTTTTGTCATTTTTGCAATATTGCAGTACATAAAGCATATTGCGTTCAATACGGCGAAACGTGGATGGAACGTTGTCGTTGGCAACCACAGAGGATTGGGTGGCATTTCTGTCACTGTAAGTCTTTTGTTAGTTGAAGGTTTTTTCGTACACTTTCCAGTTTGAGATAATCAAATGTTGCAGTTTCGTTTTCTTTTAACATGCTGGAGAGTCATTCTTCACTCATTCTTCATAAAACTTTGATTGTAATTATTTTCATCTTGCTCCTGCAGAAAAGTAAATTATTGTAAGCTCTTTGCAATGATATTTTTGCTGTACTTTTTAAGTTCATATCTATGGGCTTTTTCTTTTAGCACTGTGGTGAGATGGGAAACTAATTTTACTTGAGGTGAAATTAGAAGAAATGATTAGCCCTGGTGTCCCAGTTTTCGTTTTTTCTAACTTCACCCTATTTTGTTATTATTTCTTCTGTGTGTGTATGTGTGTGTGCATGGATTTCTTGGTTAAGTGATCGTTCCTTTGCCCCACATTCATTGGTTGTATGTAAAGACAAGGTATTGGATGCATCTTAGCAATGACTGCATATACGAATTACTTCATGTGGTTGCCTATTGAAATAGAGGCTTTGGAATATATAAATATGCAGACTCTGCGGAGTCTTTTGTCTCTTTGATTTGTTCAGTGGATTTAAATTGATATGGTTTATACTGTCCCCAACAGCTCATTCTAAAACAGCTTGATGGAAAACAACTAAAAACATTACATACACTTTTTGTTGGAAATTTGTGTTAATGTATATAATATGATAGTGGTGTTGGTGAAGGATAGTGGCATGTATAGAATATGATAGTGGTGTTGGTGGTAGATAGTGGCATGTATATAATATGATAGTGGTGTTGATGAAGGATAGTGGTATGTATAGAATATGATAGTGGTGTTGGTGGTAGATAGTGACATGTATATAATATGATAGTGGTAGATAGTGGTAATATATAATATGTAAGTGGCATATAATGGGTTATAATGATGTTTGTAATATCTCCTATATAAGGAGTGTCATTTGGTCTTGTAAGATAAGAAGTTTTGAATATAACAGAAATATATTCCTTCTTCCTCATATTTTCGGAGTTCTTCTTCCTCATATTTTCTAAGTCTTTTCTAGAAATGAGTCTCATGAAAAACATAATATGATGGGTATGTCTAATATATCTCCGGCTACGTGGTACTGACTAGTTTTGTTTCTGGCTTGTTTGTTTATTGGTCTGCGAGTTATTTCCTTAAAATTGAATGTTATTAGCTTTGGCTGAAAATTAGTGTACAACTGGCTCACAATCTGTGCAGTCCGATTGCTTTTACAATGCTGGTTGGACTGAGGATACAAGGGAAGTTATTCATTATCTCCATCATGAATATGCCAAGGCTCCCCTATTTGCTGTTGGAACTAGTATCGGTGCTAACATTCTGGTATGTTGTGATTGCTGGATCTGTTTCATACCTCATATATTTGAGTTTGACTTTGAATGTTTCAATTTATTCTCTTAAAATATTTCATTAGTTTTTCATTTTTATATTCTACAGGAATACCATGGCCAAACATAGTAGAAAGTATCAAGATACAGGATCTTATCAACCTAGACATACGTGTACAAACCAAAAGATTTTACATGCTTATTTTGAAATATGTAGCCAAACAAAAGCTTGGCACTAGAGATATGCCAAGCTACTATATCTGTAATTGCTTGTGGTTGTCACAGAATAGCAACACAAAAATGACTCTGTAACCATCTTTATGGAGAAGAATAAGCCAGATCCTTGTTTATTCCTTGTGAGCTGAAAACAAGACTGAGACAATCAGTATATTACATCTAATGCTCGTTGTCCTAGCTTTTACCCATTTACTGAATTCCAAACTTCTTCATGTAAGGAATTCATGGCTTCAACCAAAGTAAATTTTGCCTCAACTTTTGTCCCATACTTTGAGCAGCCACAAAGCCTTTCCCTATATATGCCGTTAGTGTTAGGACTTGAATAGGTTCTTAATTTGCTAGTTCAAGTCAATCACTGTATTGAACTCGAGGGGAAACTCTTTAGTTGATTGTATGGCTGCCCATGGCTTTAGGATCTTTTTCAATCAAGTGTAGGTGTACTATGATAAGTCTAGGTTGATCAACAGGTTACACCTATCATCACATAAGCTTCTATTTAGGTGTTTTAACTGGTTGAGACAAGCTACCGAGCAATCCAGGAATAAAAAGGAATTTGATTCCTTGATCAGAATGAATTCCTAGTGAAGTTCTGAACCGGAGTATTTAAGACAATTTCAGTTAAAGAAAATATGCTTAATGGATTTTTCCTACGTATGATATAGAAATTCTTGCTTTAGTATGTGTGGGGATATATTTTCTGAGTACCAACACGTGGCTAAGGCGACGCCGACGATTCAGCCGAGGTGTCACGTGTCCTGGTCATGACGCCGAGGTTATTTCAGCGAGGCCGAGGTTACCTTCGAAGATATCGGAATCCGAGATAAACGGATAAGGCACAAGAAGTCCTAGAATGAGAGAAGACTTCAGTTTGGATAAAGATAAGACTCTTAGAGGGTTTATCCTAATCCTACTGGGAGTTCAAGATTAGCAGTAATCCTAAGTCCATTAGAGCTAGGCTTTTATTGGGACAAGGATTGAGTTAGCTATAAAAGAGAGGCACCTCCGTGGGTCTAAGGTACGCAATTTATGTTACGAATAGTGAATTTAGCACTATTGATTAACTTTGAGAGATATACTGACTTGATCGTCGGAGTGCTCCCGGGTGGACAAACCACCGCCGAAATCTTCTCTTTCTGTTGCAGGTTAGTCAAGTGTCATCTATTCTGCCAGTGTTCTCCAGCTGAATACTGAGTTGGGCAGTGTGATCGGAAAATCGCTCACACAATTTGGCGCTGTCTGTGGGAAAGAAAGGAAAATAGATGGCCAGTAACGGACAGAAGGAAAAGATTGGGAATGACACTCCTGTTGGAAGTGGGAGACCTATTGACCTTGATATCACAGGAGACGAGTGCAACGCAGAAACTCATGACCAAAATCACGGAGTGAAAGACGTCGGCCAGACTGACGACGCACCAAAGAAACCAGATCGAAGTGGCTACTACAACGAGGACGACCTCTAGGTATGGAAGGATAGGTGCCTGCGGAGAGACGAAGAGGTAAAAGAGATGGCAAACAAATTGGCAGACCTACAGTCGGTCGTCAATTTCATGATGCAAAATAACGTCATGCAGCCACCGTTCCCGCTGTAGGACACGCCGATTCCAGCGGCCAATGCCTAGAAGGGAGGGCAGAAAACAATCCTCGTAGCCCCTCAGCACAACGGGAGTGAAAGATACTCTCACCGACCTTCTAGGGAAGTCGGACGAAGAGAGTCAAGAAGAGAAGAATCACGGAGGACACATCGCATAAAGAAGGCAGACCCCAAAGGATATCGGCATGTTCAGGGGCAGGCACTGTGCTTCGACACAACTCATGGAGAAGGGTCGAAAAGGACTCACCACGAAGCTGAAAATAGTGCACCAAAAAGATTGAAAGCAGGAGAAAGCCGAGCTCCTGGGCGGACAAAGGAGGACTTAAGAGATTACCTCAAGAGGAAGCAACAGAATGCCTACGTCGAGGTAACCTTCCCAGATAAGCCGAGGACACCATTCTCGGTGGAATCAGACAGGTTTGAGGCACTGAAGAGATTTAGTATGCCTAGGTTTCAAATATACGATGGTAAGTCAAACCCCAACTTCCACGTTGGACTATATTTGAACTCAATGGCATTGTATAGTGGAAACGAGCCGTTGCTCTGCAAAGTGTTCCCTTCATCCTTTGAGGAGATTGCATCAGATTGGTTCCACAAACTACCGAAGGGAAGCGTGAAGACTTGGGAAGGCCTGGCCGAGATGTTTGTGGCCAGGTTCGTGACAAACAAGCTGCAGCCATTAAGGGTGGACGCATTGATGGCTCTGAAGATCAGCAAGGATGAAGGCCTTAGGGCCTATGCAAAAAGATACTATGAGGTGTTCAATCGAATACCCAAATGTAATCAAGAGGTGGCGATCGTATCTTTTAAGAATGGCCTGAAAGATAACTGTCCACTACGAAAGTCTTTGGCAAAGACATTGTCAAAAATTATGGAAGAGCTCATGGCGAAAATCGAGAAGTATGCCAGAGCCGAGGAAGACATGTCGGGGACTAAGGAGATAAAGCAAGAGAAAGGAAACGGCTCGCCGAAGCGAGGTCGAGGTAACAATGGATCGAGCAAACAAGAAACAGAACTGAGGGCCACACAGGCAGTAACAACTGTGTTCCGAATCCCGATTCCCAAAGTCCTAGACCGGTTTCGGAACCAACCCTATTTCAGAACACCAGTGAAGGCACCAGGAGAGTTTATGGGAAGGAAGGTTGGCAGACATTGTGCTTACCACAATAAAAATGGGCACACGACTCAGGGTTGTAGAGCCCTGAAAACACACTTGGAAGAACTGGTGAGGCAAGGCCATCTGAGAGACCTCATCGATGAGGCTAGGACAAGGAAAGAACAAGTAAGATTGCCTCAGGCGCCAGCAGCTCCGCCTCCCTCAGCACCACAACCTCAGGCAGAGGACCTCGGGTTGCGATTCACTCGAAGGTCAATGAGAATGAAATTAGGGGGGAGACCCAGAAGGTGAAGCACCTGCAACATGTCTACCAAGTCGGGAAGAAGAGACATCGAGCAGAGGAGCGTCAAGGACCAGTTGTGTCCTTTTCAGAAACCGACCTTAAGATGGTACAGCATCCACATAATGATGCTTTGGTAGTATCTCTCCAGGTTGGGGAGTGCCAAGTAAAACGCATCCTGATTGACCAAGGCAGCTCTTGCGACATCATGTACGTTCGATGTTACAAGGAGCTCGGCCTTCACCCAGACGATATGGAGCAATCCAATAGCCTAATGGTCGGGTTCAATGAAACGCCGACATGGCCACTAGGAACAACCAGCTTGGAGGTGCAGGCGGGCACCAGGAAGGTAACAACAGAGTTCACCGTAATCGACACACTCTCCCCTTATAACATCATCTTGGGAAGGCCATGGTTGCATGCAATGGGGGCTGTTCCCTTAACACTGCATCAACTATTGCGGTTCCCAACAGAACATGGGATTGAAGAGGTCAGAGGAGATCAGTTGCAGGCAAAAAATTACTCCATGGCAGCAATGAAATCCACCTGCAGCATTCGAGAACCAGAAAAGCAGAGATCGAAAACGAGGACGTGGAGGTCCTAGAAGATGTCGGCAAGGAGCCAGCCGAGAAGAGTGAAGAAGCACTGAAGAAAATCTTTCCTCTCGGCTCGGGCTTAGCCGAAGAAGAGGAAAAAGAATCGGAAGCTTTTTTGAGAGCAAACATTGAGGTGTTCGCGTGGATGCCTTACGAAATGTCAGGCATTGACCCTGAGGTCACTTGGAATAAGTTGGACATTGACAGGTCGGCCAAACCTGTAATTCAACAAGCAAGAAGACCGACGATGGTACACGTCGAAGCAATGGAAGAAGAAGTAAACAGACTTCTCGAGGCCAGGGCCATTCGAGAGGTAAATTACCCGACATGGCTATCAAACACAGTAGTGATGAAGAAGAAGAACGGTAAATGGAGGGTCTGTGTAGACTTTACCAGTTTAAACAAAGTCTATCCCAAAGACAGCTTTCCTCTACCTAAGATTGACCAACTGGTAGACGCCACTTCAGGGCATGGAAGGATGAGCTTCCTGGATGCCTACAGGGGGTACCATCAAATAGCCATGTACTCCCTAGATGAAGAGAAAACTGCGTTTATCACCCCAAAAGGACTGTAGTGCTACAGAGTGATACATTTTGGGTTGAAAAACGCAGGAGCGACTTATCAAAGGTTGGTAACCAAGATGTTCAAACATCTAATTGACAGAACGGTGGAAGTCTACATCGACGACATGGTCGTGAAGACCAAGGAACTCGAAGGACATCTGGCCGACCTCAAAGAAGTATTTGAAATCCTTAAGACTTATCGGCTCCGACTCAATGCCTCGAAGTGTGCATTTGGAGTTGGATCTGGTAAGTTTTTGGGATACCTAGTGACTAGAAGGGGCATAGAGGCCAGCCCAGATCAGATCAAGGCCATACTGGATTTGAAGAGCCCGACGTCGGCAAAACAGGTGCAAATGCTAATTGGAAGGGCCGCAGCCCTGAATAGATTCATCAGCAGAAGCTCAGACAAGTGCAGACCTTTCTTCAACTTAGTGAAGAAAGCCACGGACTTCCTATGGACCGAGGAGTGCGAAGCCGCTTTGGCCGACCTGAAGAAGTACTTGACCATAGCTCCAGTTCTTTCAAATCCAGAACCTGGGGAGGAGTTGTTCCTATACTTAGCGGTTTCAAAACACGCAGTGAGCGCAGTGGTAATCCGAGAAGAAAAAGGG